ACAAGCTCCCAAAGCCCAGGTTGCAGCACTTGAGCCAAAATGGCTATGTCATTTTCTCTCTCTCTCTCTCTCTCTCTCTCTCTCATATATATATATATATATAAAGACATACATATATATATATATATATATATGTATGTCGTTATATGAGAGAGAGAGAGAGAATGACATCCCTGCAGGGTTTGTTCGGCGCCTCAGCTATGCCCTTACACGAGCATAAACACTTTATGTATAGATATATATATATATATATATTATTTGTTTATATTTATGTATATACATATGTGTACATATACAGTACATATATACATATATGTGTATATATATATATATATTATATTGTATGTACGTGTGTGTGTGTACACTCCATGCCCGACAGGCTAAGCCATGCACACAGACTCCTGCTTCACGAACGGTCGCAAGTCGAAGTAAAATGCAAAATGAAGTTCCTGCAGGCAGAACGGGCTGCGGACGTCCACAAAGGCGCAGGCGCACAAAGAGCCAGAGCTTAAAAGCAGGCGCGGTCATCGAACTGATCTTTCGCGATGTTCAAGCGCGGAGTGTATTTCTTGCGTTCCTTGCAGACTCGCTGAGCCGCTCAGCCCACTTCAACAGATCGGATCATAAGCTCATTGATGCCAGCAGCTGAGCCGGGCACGGCTCTTCGCAGATCATCTGGACAAGGAACTGCGTAGTCAACCTGCGCTGCTCTAAAGTCCCCGCACCATAACAAGACGCAACTCCTTGAGAACAGCTCGCCTGCCATTGACCTTCCTGAAATGATTCTGCTAAAATGGAGAGCCCACGCCGCTTCCTTGGAGAGAAGCACAACTTGCAGCGCTTGCAAGTCAGGAAGAAGCTGCGCTTTCGGCTGAGCTAGAGGCTTGTCGTCTTTCAAGGGACAGTCTCTGCTCCAACCTCTGCTTCTTCACAATTGCATGTCTATGTTCTCTCAAAAGCACTCCTTCCCAAGCCAGGAGCTGAGTCCGAGAGTTGCTTGGACCTCAGAAGGCGGTTTCCATGCGCCATCTTCGTGCTCTCGCTCTGTGCTGCGCAGAGCAGAGAGGGCAAGACGTTGGTTGGCATGTGGCCAAAAACATAGAGCCACGCCTGGCCACTCGAAAGCAATACGCTACATGCCAGCCGGCTCGTGCTCGTCAGATGCCTGATCACCGACCGATGTTTGGGTCACCAGGGCTTCCATGTCTGCCACTGCACTTGGCGACACCTCGAGGAATCAACACGTGGGCAAAAAGCAAACGAAAGTGACATGCGAAACGAGACTGAGCTATGCTCTGAGGCTTTCGGGAGTCTTTCCAGGAGCAACGCCTCATTCGTGGCCACAAAGCCAACCTCACTCGGCGCATGTTTAGCTTTGGTCACATCTGCATGCAGACAACCATAGCGCAAGAAGAGTCATATCTTGACAAAGGGCCCAGAACACGTGCGAGTCGAAGGATCTCGAGCTTTCGCATGATCGCGAGCCGTCGCTTGCGACAATCGGGCACTCACCCCTTGGCACAGGCAGTCTTGTAAGTCTGGGTGAGATCATCAAGTTTGAAGCAACATAGCGAATGGCAGCTGCTTGGTGTACCAGTTATGGTAATAGATGTACCTTTCACAAGCACAGTCATTCGGTTCGCTGGCAACGGACTATCTAATGCTGACAAAGCAAAGCACTAGGCGCACTCAAGCAAGGCCATGTCGTATTTCTCCTTGTCAGCCGTGGAGTTGCCTGAGCCAAGGACAAAATGCTTCCACGTTGGTTGCACAGGCCGTCGCAGATTCCAAGTGCCAAGCTGGCCAAGTACTGGTCAAAGGCCTTACGAGGCCAAATCACGAGCAGCCCACTGAAAACTTCGAATTGGTTCAACGGCTAGAAGCACACCCTGTGCAGTGCGAGGTGGGGATCGCGCCTGATTCACAATGTCTGCACCATACCCAGCAGAGGTAGGAAACTGTTGAGCCTCTTCGACCTGAATAGCCACACGTGTAACCCACAGCAGGGACGGACCGAAACAGCACGCGAGATCACACCATGTTGCTTTTGGGCCTTGAGGTACGGGAGCACCAGCATCATGACGAGGACCTTGTCGTAAGCTTCACAGCATCTGTTGGGTTGTGTTGGAGCTGAAGCTTTACGGAGGTCCTGGAGTCTGCTAAGAAGACGCATGCCTGTGCAACAGCTTTGCCAAGTCCGGCACGAGCAGGATGACACGGCGTGTAGTCAGCTCAGAAAGCTTCTTCCCTACCTCAGACCCATCTGCAACAAAGCTGAAGCAGAATGCACGGTGTCGTCGGCTTCCAGTCTCGGCACAGCTCTGCAATCCGCAGTGATGGCTTGAGTGTCTGGCCCTGCTCTCCTTACCCGGAGCCTTTGTCATGCTTGCCTCGTAGTGAGTCGACAGAGTATGCCGACGATTGCAGATCGCTTACCTAAACGTTAGGTAGGACAGGTAGGAGCCGAGAAAGGCCAGACTGCACTGCTTTTGGCAGTCGAACCACGGGCTGACGGGGTGTGGACGACAAAAGCACATGACCAAGAACTTTGGATGCCGCAGAAACAAGCAACACAGTGGAGTGTGCTGCCTCCTTCCTCCACTTGCCCGGACCCTCGACACCGTTTGACCGCACTCCCGTTTCGACGCAAGACCACTTGTGTCGAGGCGGAGGCAGCATTTTCAACTACATTCGTCAGACTACAGCACAGTCATTCATTCCTGTCCTTTGGCGAAACACCCTCCAAGTCGACTCCGTTCAAGCAAAATCGATGGGCACTTGCAGCGTTGCACACAAGACGGAACATCGGCAGGAAGGAGGTACTGCTTTCCCATGCACTGTCCGAGGAGTCATGGCGACAAGTGTCCGAAGCAGCTGGCGGCATGCCAGTCCATGGAGAACAAGCGAAGACAGAGAGTACAGATCGTTCTTAGCAGGTTCGACGTACCAGTCTGTCGACGTCAGAGAAGGACTTCCAAGTGAAGAAACGGTGCTGTCATATGAACGACAATACACTCAACTCCAACCAATGCCCTCTACAATGTTAGCCACCATCCATCCGTGTTTCCCGCCGGCCTGCTGGACCTTCAGGGCGGAGAAACATGTGCAATGCGGTTCAGCAAGACATGTGTCTTCAAAATCCGTTTTTGCCTCCATCTCGTCGTACGAATCCTCATCGTCGTTGGCAGGGTACATCTGCTCAAGCGTGATTTGCTTCGCAAGCTCCTGGCGCATGTACACTGTCCACATCACATATGTAAACATATATATATATATATACAAATATGTATACATATGTACATATATACAAATCTACATATCTACATATACACATAGGTATGTACATATGTATGTAGATACATATGTACGTATGTGTATATATATATATATATCAAACACGCAGGCACACACACAGAGAAAGACGTGCCTTTGCTTGCCTGCGATGAACAAACAAACTCTTCCTTCGTCCCTGCCTCTTTCTTCTTCTGCAGCTGCCTAGCTTCGTAGATTGCCTTGTACAGCTTGATGATTCGTATCAGCCTGCAGCAAACCCCCAGGCCCCAAGCCTAACGAAAGCAGAAGCTCGGCTCAGCCCCCCGGCCTCAGCACCCGAACTACTCGAGAGGTTCTAGCTCCAATCTTTGCAGTTCCAGAGACAGACTCATCGCTGGACATGTCCTGCGAGGGCAGGCGCCTAACAGAGCTAGCAACCCCAAGTCACCCATTGACATCAACGTCCTCTTCGTCCCCCTGAAAAATATCAGCGATCCATGTGAGATCGATCACCTCCAACATGTCTGCATGGCGCTGCTTGCAAACAGCACGTGACAATTTTCATCTTTCAGACGATGCTCAGAGCCGTGCCAAGGTGATCGTAGAGATTATGTCCAGGAAGAAAAAGAAGCTAAGAATGTAATCATCCTCACGGGGATCTATTTCCCCGCTCTATGTCCCAGGAGTTTGCGACACGCACTTGCCTTTGCAAACATGCACAGCACGATTTCCAGCACGAAGACAACGATGCAAAACAAGGTAAGTCCATCAAAGACCTGGGCAGTCCCGCAAAGGTCCACTTGTGATGCTCTGATTGAAAGAGGTTGCAATCCGGTGCATGCGAAGATATGCGAAGGCTGCCGGCTGGATCTGCTGGCTGGTGGGTGAAGAGCAGGCGACAATCGTCGCCGGTGAGGGCATAAACCTCGGGGACCCAGTCGCGTTCACGAGGCGAGAAACGCCTTCAGAACACCTAGCTGTGGCACTGGCTGTCAGGAGTGTTGTCAGGATGGTGAAGAGTCTGTGCTCCACAACGTACCGCGTCGCTCGCAACTTGGAACATGAAAGAACATGATCGATCTACTCGCACTCAGCTCGCGAAGCCATGCCAGCTGCCCTGTGCTCTCGGGCAGCCACCACGAAAGGATGCAACATGCTAGGCTTCTGCCTCAGTGGTGTGGTGCATAGGTTCGGTACTCATGCTAAGGCACGCTTGCAGATCCTAGCAAAGCAACTCTGTTTAGGGAGAGGACTGCCGGAGGCCTCGGATGGCCGACCCAAAACCACTTCAAAGGCAAAGCGTCAACAGCTGCAGGTTTCTGTGGAACACCCCTCGTCATCAAGGTCGTCGGCCCATCTTCGAGATGGTCGTCGGTTGCGTGCGCAGCCTCGGTTCGAACACAAATGGGCGGAACGAAGCGGAACCACGGGCAAAGAACTGAAAGCACTGCAACATCAGTGCTTTTGCCATCGGCAAATCAACGGCAATTGGCATTTGACGGTTCTCACGGAAACTGCAGGCAGCAACAAGGCATGCCGGGAGACTTCGGTTCTCAAGGCACAAGGTATACAGTATGCACCAAGAAGCTTGGCCGGCCTGCTAAGACCAGGCTACCGACGGCGCGTTTCTCTCTCGCAGACGGAATCTTTTTTCCTTGTGTAATTTTGTTGTGTTAATTGAATCATTTCCCGCAAGGTAAGCCTCAGACCCTAAGCCTCAAACCTCAAACTCCGAACTCTACATCCAATACTCTGAACCCCCAAACCCAGAACCCTAAACCCGAAACCTCCCAAACCCCAAACCCGCAACCCCCACACTGAGCCCTGAACCCTAGGCCATGCAAAGCAAAGGACATCATGCAGGTAACACGAAAAAAGACGTGGACAGCCCAAAAGGCCTAATCCCAAAACATCAAAGCCAAAACCCTAAGCGCCAAGCCGAACCCCGCAAACCGCAAACCGAAGCCTCAAACCACAAAGCCTAAACCCAAGACCCGAAGTCCTAAACCTAAACCCGAAACTCCCAGGCCACCAATCCCAAAACCGCAGACAAAACTAAAAGCACCGACCTGCAGACCCTGAACTCCAGGCCTTAAGCCCCGGCCGAACCCCGGGGTCCAGCGATCGACAACAACTAAACAGAAAAGCACTTCACGGTAAAGAGAAAATCACACACACACACACGCACACACACATCTCGCCCCAAAGAAGAAAGACATCGCTGCCGAACATCCAAAAAACATCATGCAGAAGTGCGGCTTTGGAGGTGTTCCGCCTATCTTTTTTCCGGCCACGGGGTTCTAATTCTTCAGAAGGCCCTGACTTGGAATAGCAGTTGGAATGATCACTTGAAGTGCATGTGACCGATACATGCCGGTTGAACGACCTAACTGCTCCCCGCGAAAATGAAACCATCTCACACCACGGTCGGGCCGAGTTGGGCACACGGCTACCATCCTGTTAGGCTCTGAGGCGGCGGCATTGGCCGGCCATCGGCCTGCCGAAATACACGCTGAATGTTAGCAAGTGGACGTCTTGCGCAGTCTGGCCTGGCTTCTCCGATTAGACTGCTCATGAGGCACTGGCGAAAGGACCTTTACTCCCGACCTGACACAACTGGGGGAGCATCCATCTGCTGCAACAAGCCCTCATACAAGATGTTTGCACGACCGCAACAACAAATGCAACATGCCGCTACAGCTTAGAATCAGGCTGCATGTTGAAGGCGGGCCCAAGCCAGGCTTGGCCATCACCTCCCTCCGTGAGCCAAAAAACAGCGGGAAGTGACATTTGCGGGAAAGGCCAACGCGCATGCAGCACTTCACTGAAGATGCAATAATGCAAACCTTCAGTGTTGCGAGGCCCTGGCAAAGCACCTGGCTGGCAGTCGGCTGAACCAACACCCTGCAGGCCAAAAGGACACCACAAGCTGTCGAACAACGCAGCAATGCGTTCCCTCGGATTTCAATGTCTGGCAACATGAATGGTGCACTGTTGCCGAATTGACGTTTCCACGGCAGGCACACACTGCAGCAGCACAACGCAGTCGCAGCCAAAACACACATGTACGGATGCTTGCGGCTTTACAAAATCAAGACTGTTGCATACTGAGACTGCCGCATACTGGAACTTGCAACGTAAGGCGTTTTGTTAAACATGCATCCTGACCGACAACATGACAGGATTACTGACATTATTTAACAGCTGCTGCAGTCTCTTGTCGCAGCGGCGACTGGCGTTCTCGACATGCAATACCATGCCGGTTGCTGGCATGATTAACCACTACAACTTATTGATCGGCTCACGATTCCTGTCGCATCAATCATTCGGCTGCCATGTCGCGGCGACCGTACCTAAACTTGCACAAACCTATCTACGAAGATAATGACCATGATCAACAAGACCTAGGGTGCTGCAGAGCCATGCTTGCCCGTCCGAGCCAATGTTGGTTAATTATACGAACACCTTCAACTCAGAAGGTGCCATTGCACATCGCGTTGAACAGAATATGCACAAATGTCTCTATCAGTTCAGACGAAAAATGTACTTCGTGAGATCGGGCATAACCCTTCTTGCGTACGCTCAACTGTTGCGTCCTGCTGGCCCGCTAATCCGTGTTCTTGATTGGCAAATACCCCTATAACCTATCATTAAAAAATTTCTCGGAGATCCTGGATCTGGCTGCCTCACAACAAAAACTTATGTTGAAGGGACATTTTTCTCCCATAACTTTCAAAATAAGTTTTTGGACTCAGCGATGTGAGTTAGAGGCCTAAGACGTGCAACTTTACTGCAGTTCTAATCCTAATAGAGGCTGAGAACTTCGTACTTCACTGCAATTAGAGGCTTAGTAAAGGCGTACAATGTACTACTTCACTGCAATTACTAGCTTCGTAAATGCGTAGCACGTACTATTTTACTCGCATTCAAACCTTAGTAGAGGCGTACAATTTACTACGTTGTTGCAGTTAAAAGCTTCGTACATGCTTGGAACTTGCTACTTCACTGCAATTACAGGCCGTGCGGGCTTAACTTCCGTTTCCTACCGGGCTTGAAAGTGACGGGGAGTGTTACAACACAGCCAAACAGGCAAGCACGACCTTCTATTTTTCCGTAGGCGAAAGTCCAGCCAGAACCGTCAGTAGGGCCGAATCCGGTATTCGGACCGAACCAAAAAATCCAGCAGATCAGGCATCCGCCGGAAACGGCCTACCGGCCTACCGAACCGGATTGGAAGTCCAAGCGGAGCCAACCGGACAGGAAGAAGTGACATGCCAGGTTTTTTGTGCATGAGCATGACACCGGAAGACAGAAAAAGGCGCAGTCGGAGAAGATCAAAGGCACGGGATGTCCGAAACCCCTGTTGTGGCCAACCATGATCCAAGACCCGTTGTTTTCCAGCACAAAGCTTGGTTATTCCCACAAAGCATTTTTTTTGGCGTATGCGGGCCTCAGTGACAGCGGCTGCTCCGCTCTGTCCCAGTAAGAAAGCTAAGAAATCA